TATATATATATCCTGGTATTAAAAATGTTGTTACACGTTAACGGCATGCTATTTTTAAGTTGTGCTGTGGGGAAACATTTGAGCTATCTGACTCAAAATGTGTTTGTCTTTGATTAGCCGTGCCAAAAATATGTTTGAGGAGAACAGAGAAAGTAACACGCGTGCTTCCAGCCTGCACGGTTGTATTGCATGCAGAGCTACACACTCGTGCATCTTTCTGTGTACTGACATGAGAGAGCCTGGGTCTCTCAGGCTTCTACTGTTGGATTCATCGCCGTCGGACATGATATCAGAGTTCAATATGCTCTGCAATGCTTGAGCCAATTTGTAACATTTTTTATTCAGTGCAACTTTTTTTTCAGTGCTCATATGTATGCACACATGTTGGATGCTTCTTTTGAACGTCTTATTCATTTTCCATGGCGCTTCAGAGGATTTTCTTATACATTTCCTTCAGAAATACGAGTTCACATCCTGCAGCAGCAAGCTTCATTTGACGCGTCAGTCAAATACTAATTTGTGTCAAATGCTGTCAAAATGCTCAGGTCCCCTTTGTTAATTCAAATGCCAACAAATACAGTGCTCTCACGTTCCCAGCAGTAAGAAATCACAACGGTTGGATGACACTGACACAATCATGCCCCTGTATCCACAGAAAGGGTGACGTCAGCGTCGGCATCAGCGAGCAGGCGGGTGTCTGCAGACCTTCTTTAGTAATCTGTGTACACACAGGGCTCACATCAGGCTCCCCACGGTGCTGCCCAGGCTCCCCAGACTGTGGATTTAATTAAACACTGTGAAATTAATTAATCAGTGGGGTGGCAGGTAGAAGGACTTCTCACTGGAACAGCTCACACAACCAAGACAAGCATTTCATGTGCACTGACAGTTATCAATTTGTTGTGTGTTTTATTATAGTGCTTCTTTATAGAGATGCTGGAAATTCTGGGAGATTAAAAGGCTTGGCGTGCGAAAAGAGCCATGCAAATTATCAAAATAACAGCTCCGGAGAATCAAAGTCTAAACCTGTGTTTGATCTGTTCTATCAATTAATTAAAAAATTCACTTCTGTATAATAATATGGTGCAAATTAGATGGAAATGAGATAAAATATTCATTTAGTTATCTGGGGAATCTGCCTGGAGGGCTTTTTAGTCTTCAGTCTGGCTCAAAATGCTGTCCATATGGCAATTATGTACAGTAGTGTTGCAGGAGGATTGGTCTGATGCCTACTGGCAGAGAGGAGCCTGCCTGTGACAAACTGCTGCTAGGATCTGATGTGAGTTGAGGGAGATAATGAGGCTGTTGTAAGCCTTAAATATAGAGCCTGGCCCCGGGGTGGCATATCTAAAGGCTCAGGCTCCCTCATTGTTGCACGTGCAGCTGAGGATTAAAAAACACATTGACATTTTTTTACTCATAAACTTTGTCAGAACTTCCCACAACTCTTTGGACAACTTCTGCTTTCATGTGGCAAGCCTCTTGACATTGCTTTGTGGAGGAGCTAGGTTTCCTTTTTTATGTTTTTTTGTAGATGTGAAGTCTTTATTTGATTCTGCTTTGAGCTATCTATAGCTCTTTTTAAGAACCTCACTAGAGGATGTGTACGATCTAGGGTACATCCTAGGATGACTGAAGCTTTGAGAAACGACACATTTTAATGTCAATTTTTTTTTTATATAGATCCCATCGGCTCAGCTTTCCAATTATGTTTCCCTGACAGGGTTAAAAAAATGAGGTATGTTGTTTGTTTTACAGCGTCCTCTGAGAGAGCCCATGCCTGCTGTGTTATAAAGACAACTGCCCACCTCTTATGAGGAACTCTTGACATCCACTGCCTCCATCACACTGACTGTCATATATACAGCTTTTTCTCCTGAGGAAAACAATGGTGCAAACTCCAGCTCTGTGTCTAATTCAGACCTGCACCACACTACAGGTTTCCTATTTGAGTCTAGCAAGGACACCATGCAACCAAGTGCAATATACAGAAGAAAAAAATCCCTGCAGAGTAATTGAGTCCCCTGGGGGAATTGCTATAATGTTTCATGGAATGCAGGTACCTGTAGGCCTGTGGACCATATTTACAGCTATAACTCGGTGAAATAAACAAGACACACTCCCTAATACAATACCAGCAGGCATATAATTAACAGCCATTTGGGGTTCGCATACTAAATAGGAGGGTGAGAAAAGAGAGAGAGTGGTGCAGACTCTCCAGCCAATAGCGAGGAGACTCCAGCCCGACCTGCAAATGGCAGGCAGAGTTAGACTATTGGGCAGAGCTGCGAGTGGTCACTCAACCATGGGATTAAAAAGCATTTAAGCCTTGTACCAGAGGGCCCCCTCCCTCTGTTATTTCTGACCATTCAGGAGAAAAGAAAAGACACATTTTCGCTCCCTGCATGGGTTGTTATTGCCGGTGCAAAACTGCAGGGTTACAGGTTTTTCACAACGCCAGCATCCATAACCGTATTGCAGTGCTTTCTAGCAGAAAAACATAATGAGCTAAACCTAAAAGGGTTTCTGTGTTCTGGTTAAGGTGCAAAATGGCCTGTCACTCCTGTTGATTTCATTCATGTCTGGATGTAATGGAAAACATGCAATCAAATGTAGGACAGCGTTTGCTAGAGTGGTTCACTTCACACTTGTGTTCACACTTCTAATGCCTCCTGGGTAACACCAGGCAAATTTATGACAGGAGGTATTGATGTATTTATAGAGCTGGGGTAGTGAGTGCATAGGCTTGATTAGCACAAATCCATGCCACTGGATATATCAACCCCTTGGTTACCTGCATGTATTGTGCTGGAGAAAAGCTTTTTGATTTGGTGGTAACCAGAGCACTGCAGCACCCTGCCTGGCTGTGCTTGTTTTGATGGCCGATGATGAAAGCGCAGGTGGATGCGAGAAAGCTGCTGCAAACTCCTCCGCTGTGGTTTTTTTCCTATTAGCACAGGAGTGGAGGTTTGCAGTCTGGCCGCTGGGCGCAGCGGGTCAGTGCTCACAAAGCTCTGTTTGTTCCCCGGCCTGCAGGGCTCCCAGGGTAAGCCCGGCTCCAGAGGGGAGACAAACAAAAAGGCACCACTGTCTCACACACACCCAATGTGCTCTCCAACACATTCGTCTTTTCTCCTCAATAGGGTACATTTCTCTTCTTTAGGAGAGGAATGGCAAAAGGAAACAAGTTTTTTAGAAACAGGGCCTCGGGATAACAAAACTGCTGTTGTTGTGAGTTATGTGTTTTTTCTCAGTTTAAATGCCATTTTGAGTTGTTGCTTGTGGTGATGTGTTTTTTCCCCCCATTTTCTTTTTTTTTGTTTTGCTTTGTGTTTTTTCATCTCCTTTTGTCGAGCTCAGACTCGGAGCTCTTTGTCTTGTGCTGCTGTATCAACACATTCTGAGTGAAGCCAAGGAAGCCGCCGCCAGCAACAGGCAAATAACACATCATATTTAAATTTCAGCAGCTTAATTTAGAGATTATATATAGACCTGTTTGTGTGCAGCTGGTGCAAGAAAGAAACAAAAAAGTTCTCCAAATTAATGAATAATTTCAAGGTGTCCCTTAGGTCCATGTCTGCGTGTGATTTCTCAAGATGAAATAATGTGCAGGATTCTCTCACAGCTGCTGTCACGTCGGACGTTCACTGTTGTGCTGCAATCTGCAGTCCAAGTATAACTCCATTATTGAGGGGCCTTTAAAATGGGAGCCGCGTGACACACAGCAGGATGATTTAGTTTAATGACCATGGCAGTGACAGTGCTGTGATGGAAATTGGACTCCCCCTGCAAATTTACATCACTTGAGGGTACTCGGGGTTCTTTTAGCGGCTGCACTCGGGAGCACGAGCCATCAGGAGGTCCTGGATATGTCATGCTTGTCACCTTCCTTTAAGTGCATCTGCAGACGTGGGAGAGGGATTAATATTATATAGCCTACGGAAGCACAGAGACCGTCTTATCAGCGCTGCAGATGTGATAAGCACCTCTCCCCCCATGAAAACCAGGAAAGATCTCCAAGCAAAGAGACAAGCATCTCTTTGTGTTGTTTCCTCACACTGCTGCACAGTTTCAATGCGGCTTTAGTGGCAGATATGGTGCAATTTCACATCTGTTGTAATTTGATGTTACCCGGATCACCCTCTGTGAAATCGGTTTGATCACAACATGGCTCCTTTCAATTATTTAGAAAGTTGGCATATGGCTGTGGCGATAGTAATCTGTTTTCTTTTAATTTTGAGGTGTTTGGAAAAAGTGTACAACACAAGCCTTAATAACAGATGTGATACGAAAAGAACATGTAGTCTCTGTGATCATGCAAGTTGGTATCCTAGCATCGACACATCTCTATCTCTTTTTAGAGGAAAACATATTTATTTAATAAAAATGTCACTTTCATGGAAATATTTTCCATCACTGCCATGACACTCATCTCGCATTAGTCCACATCAATGCAGATGTCAGTGTGCACAAATTGCAATGCCCTCAAAGTGATTCTGAGCTGTGAATGGAAGTTATGGCAACCATTGCTGTCACTTCAGTTTTATCAGAAAAGCACCCAGTGGAACCATGGAAACAAGATGTGACACAAAAAAACATCCACATCAAAGCCAGTATATACTGTAATTAGAATTTATTGAAGCCTTCTCAGATAGGAAAGGTACATGATCTTTGGAGTCAGTCCTATACCTTCCATTAAACAAAGTACAGCGCATTAAGCTGTGGTATTACATTATGATGCACAACTGAATGTGCCCTTTTGTCATGTCTGTTGCTGTAAATAGAAATAGGGCATTTGTGTATTTCTAAAAGAGAAAGCATATGTTATTATAGAAACTCCTCTTTACTGTTATATTCTGATGTGCATTACAAGCTAACAGGCAGAGCTTTCTGTCTGTTTTTACAGGCAGGAAATAAATATCTGGACAGAAGCTTAAAGTTTAGAGACCTTGAGGGTCTTTTAAAAAAAAAAGGTTTTCTCACGAGTGTTGCCTGTTTTCTTACACAATACCTAATATGCGTGCGACCCACCAGCGACAGGGCATAATGACTCGGCAGGCCACCTGGCACCCTCTGAAGTTGTACGGCCAAGGCCAGTAGCCACGCAGAGGCTCGCAGACCCTCTGACAGTGAGTGTAGCTGCGTTGGCATTCTGAGCAGCAGATCCCCTGGTGGTCCAGCATGGTGTCAAAGGTCATGGCGGCTTCCTCCCTGGCCCCTCCGCTGCTGCGCTGCAGTTTTTTTTAAAGCAGTGTTAATTTAAGAAAGAAAAAAAAAAGAGAGAGACATCTTTTTCTTAATTCATGCTCATTTGCAATTCAAATGTTTTCAGAAACTTCTCATCCTCCCAAACATGAAACTGCAGCTTTCTCTCTTAGGCAGCATGCATTTTAATAACCGCTGGGAATTTTACGCTTTAGTTCGTAAGTTCATCAACTTGGAATGGCGGCTCTTACCCCCCCTCCCCGACCTGTCATTGTAGCCACTAATATGACACCTACTCAGCAGCATCAGCAGTGTAGCATCCAGGTTAGCACTTTCCCCCACCATCTATCTCTGTGAGCTTTTAGCACTGTTATCTTAAGGATCAGGAAGTCGTCTGTGAAAGTGTTAACAAAACAGAGAAACTTCTCTTCAATTCCTAATGTTCCTTTAAGGCTTGCTGCAGGGCTCAGTGTGTGCCTCCTGATAGTTACTCCCCAGCTCTAGAGTCTTGTTTATCATAAACAGTGTGTTGATGAAGCTGGTACCCACGTGATAGGGGTTTTGGGGATTGTACCCCGATCCTGCAGTCGACTGCGCCCCCTCCTCTTCCTCCTCCTCCCTGACTCTGGAGATGTGATCGTCTGTGTGACTCACAGGGTCCCTCTCCTCAGCAACTGCCTCCAACTCCTCCGTGTTAAACTGCTGCTTGGCTCCCCGTGTGTCTCTCTTTCTCCTCTCCCCATCTGTTACAGCAGGGCCACAGGAGGCATGAGTATTGGGTCAACATCCACAAGATGCCGTACATGTCCTCAGAGCTCAATCCTACATAGCTGGGGCGGTCTCCCATGTCCTGAATAATTCAATTAGCAGCCGTGATTTTCAAGCAGGCTTGCATATATAAGCGTCATTCTTTTTTTACAGTACAAGACCGGAGACTTTAAACTCTAAATGTAGTTTGTGTTCAAGATGTTCAAGTGTTTCACCAACTTTGCAAGACAAGCTCCAATGTTTAAAAAAAACGTGTCAGCAGATAAGAAGGGAAATGAGCGCCAAAATGTAGATGAACTTTGAAAGAATATACCAAAGTGTGAATGTTCTCTGATACCAGGTTAGAAGTCACACATTGAGTATTTTCATACATTAAAGCAAAGGAAAAGCAGAACCTTTGGGAGAGACTGGTTGGAGCCAGTAGATGGGAAGTTCCCCACAAAGACCCAGAATCTTGTTGCTCAGAAAGCTGGTGTCCTTCAACGGCTGCTCGGCAGAAACCCATATGAGGAACTCCTCATCAAACCTCACTGGCATGATTCCATCTGTCTGTCGAGAGGAATAAAATAATGCCCTTCAAATTCTAAAGCTAGACAAAGATGACAAGCGAGCAGAATATCTTTTTTCTCATTCCAATTTGCAGCGAGTAGTGTATATATACCAGGTCAAACATCAACGCCTCTTTGTTGTCGGCTCCCATGTGTGGAAGGCTGGCTTTGATTTGGGATTTTATATAGCACTTGTCTCCTCCAAAGAAGCGGATCCCGGTTATTCCCTGCAACAACCCAAAAGAAAATAAATCACAGAAACGCCGTGTTTACACTCACGGCTTTGCTACTTTCGCTAAACACACAGAAAAAGTCTCGGCTGAACTACCTCAGGAAAAAGAGATGAAGAGAAAGAAGGACAAACTCACTCACAATTTGAAAGTCATGAATCTCCACGGTTTCCTCAGCTCCGATCCCAGTTTTATATCGCTCCAGGTTGTTGTCAGAATCGATTTCCACGGATCCCTCTCTCACCTCGCCGTTGATGTTCATACTGTAACGGACGTTATAAACCTGGCAGGAGAGTGGGACGTTAACTGATTACTTAAGTTATGGAAATCTCCCTCGAGAAAACATCATCAAAATCAACCTAATTTATTTCTCTTCAAATGTCTATTCTTCTTTTCCTGCAGAATTCCTGCAAGACATGAGGGACTTGTGCAGACCTTGATTTGTTTGTTCTACAGGTGAGCTTCAAATAAACATTACATTATAAAATACACTAAAGAAACATTTAGACTAATCTATTGTAGACAGAATTAAAGAAGCAGTTTAAGATTGAGAGCCATTCTGTTTATGATGAATGCATTAGTTGTACCTCAGTGAAAACCATTAAACATTATAGTGATGGCATTAAGAAAAGACATGTATGCACTTTGATGCAAAGGTTTTATCACCAGAGGATTTTATTAACTACTTTGCAGCCTCCTTGTGTTCACTTTTTTATATATATCTGTCATTGAAGGGGGCAAAGTAATAACTACAGCAGAATCCTCTGACGCCACTTACATTTTTATCGCTGACTTTCCACAGGTAGAGAGCAGTCATGGATGCACACAACATAAACACTGCAGCGACAACAAGAGCAACAGCTCCACATCTCAGGAGGCGACTGACTGCAGCAGAGGTCTGTGTGCTGGACCTGCTTTGTTCCTTCACAAAGGTCAGGAGGAAGAAAAAAAGTAAGAACTGGCACACCCGTAACAATCCAGGACAGATGATTATACTCCTGGAAAAAAACTTTAAAGTTGGCAGGGTTTATAGTTTTCTTCACATGTCATGGATGTCAATTACGTTTCCAATCAAAAAACTTATGAAGTGTGTCTTACCGGAGGCATGCAGTGTTCAAAACAACCCGATCCATGAGTGGTATTTTGGATTTTTTCCATAGTCTCCTTCATGTTGTCCTCTAAAACTCCTCCGCCTATACTGATGTCTCTCTGTGGAGAATCAGGATATCCACCGGGAGGCTTTTTCTGACGTTTGAGTGTGAATGACGTAAAGTTGATATAAATTCTTTGAGCTAAATTCTTCATCTGAATGTTACCTGTAGGTTTTCAGGTTGTCTAAAGCAAGGTGGAACATCCTGTGGTGCCAAACTAAACCTTAACTCCTAAAGCAGGTCTGACCTGGTGCCATGTGTTACAGGAAGTGATGTCATAGTCAGAAGAAAGGTTGTCACTGGACCTTTCAGACATTTTCTGGATGGACACACAGTATGTGCTTTAAGGGAATGTTTTTATGCCTTTCAGTAAACCACATCCTTTTTACACTTACAATAGATATTGATCATGATTTAAATGAAAAGACAGATTCCCTCTGCTTTGGTGATGCAACAGCGCTTCCATACACAATAACAGACAAGCACAGATCTTTCTTTACCATTCATTTTCTGATCGCTGATAGCTGAAAGGCAGGTTTGTGTTACTCTGTCTCTTTCCTAACTTGTAAAATAAGTAACATAGTATGAAAATAGGTGAAAACATGAAGTGCTGCAGTTGCTTAGAAACCAATTGAAGCTCTTTTTTGGATGAGTGGTAAGCTGGGAGGCAATCAGAAAAGGTGAGGGGATTCTTTGACCTTTGAAAAACATGTAATCATCAGAGTATTTGATTAGCGCTGCACAGTCACTACATTGTGTTCCACTGAGGAGAATAAGGCACCGGCTTATAAATTAATATGTGATTATTGGAGAACTGCATTTTATTTATTGTGGCCCATAAGCCTTTAAGGCAAATTAAATGTATTCAGCTGGCTGATTGAGGTTATTCTGTGACAGTATACTTACTGAGTCATGTCATGCAGATCCTCTTGTAGACTGTTGTTAAACAGCAAAACAACAGACGTTTTTGAAATGTTTATTTGTGCAACAATGTGACAAAATCTATCACAAACATGGTAATCTTCCATATTGATTGTTTTCCACAGCAGGACGGCCCCTTCCAGGCGTAATGTCTGTATAGGTCATGCCCTTTAAATAGTAACACATGCTCTTGAAAAGTCATAATAAAATTCTTTACATGGAATCATTATGAAAAATATATTATTAATGTACAAAACTTTGCATATTACACATGATACAATGAACAGTCTTATATGAGCCCAAACACACAACATACTACAAAACACTGCAACGATCCCACAAAGTCATTAAACATGAGAGTACTGTACAGTATAAAACAGAATCCCTTTGTTTGAGGAGCTTTACGAGTTTGTGAACTCTGGGATGGAGACCTCATCTGTCTCCTGTATTCGAGCAGGCGTCGAAGGACCGACGAGAATATAATCAAACTCCTGGTGTTGCACTTTTTCATACACGCTCTGCAGCCCGTTGGTTTTGGGTAAGTGAGCCGGGTAGTAGTTTTCCCTCCTGCTGTCCCGGGGGAGTGATGCAGTCTTGGAGAAAGTTGACAGATGTGGTCCACAGGCCATACTTGTGTTGGGCCTGGTGGCTGAGGGACTCCAGCATCGATCTGAGTGTCCCAACACTTTGCACTCGCTCGTGCATGCCCAGAGACCTGCAGAAAAGAACATGATCAGAAAATTAAACTCATTATGTTTCCAGTTTATTCGAAAACTGTTCTAAATGGCTAAAGTATTTTACTTTGCTTGGATTAAAATACAACCCAATTTGACATTTCATTGTTTTTTCAACACTCACTGTTCATTGGTGGCGACTCCTTTTTGTGCACATCTCCACTTATATCCGAATCGCTGTCATTGAAGTCACTGTCCCCCTTTCCGCTGTCCTTGCCGCTGATGTGTGGATCTCTGGCTGAGATAGTGGTGAATGAATTACCCTTCCATATCGTTATCGGCCTCACTGTTTCTTTCCCGTATCCTGGAAGTGTAGAATAACCCTGAAAGAATTAAAAAAAAGAACATCCTATGTGAATTTCATTCAGGATGCAAACAAAAAAAGAAAGTGGGACAAACTTTCTGTGAAAAAGAACAACTTTACCTTTAATTTTCCCTCCATGGTTCTGCTGTTGGACTCAAAGATGCCTGCTGTCGGCCTGCCATCCTCACAGCTTGCCTCTGTTGTGTTGCTGCTGGCCAATGGAGGTTTCTCTGGAAATGGATGGGCATCAAACACTTTTCCTTTGTGGCTGGCAATCAATGAATCAATGTGACCGCTCTCCACTTTCTCCACATTTGGTGCGTCTTCTTTTTCATCGTACTCCCTGGTCTCCTTTTTCCGGCGGCTGCAAATGGTTGTGATGAGAATGATGGCAAGCAGGAGGAGGGAACAGCTCCCCGCCAGGACGATGATGATGGCTATGGACATATCCCATTCAAAGAGCTCCTCGTTGCCATTTTGAGCCAAGGAAGGCATGCTGGGTAAGGCTCCTTCTATGAAACTAAAGTGTATAATGGCCGTGGAGGTGAGCGCCGGGGATCCATTGTCGCTGACCGCCACTGTGACTTTGACATTATCTGTGAGATCATACGTCAGCTGCCGGCTCACGTGCACCTTCCCTGTGTCTTTGTTGACGGAGAAACCCAGGTGTCCCCCCTCTGTGATTTTATAGGACAGCTGTGCGTTGACGCCCTCATCAGCATCTGTGGCCCTTATCTGTGTCACCACATAACCTGCAGGTGCGTCTTTGGGCAGGAAGACCTCTGCAGATCCTTTGTAGAGGGGCGGCTGAATGATAGCAGGCTGGTTGTCATTCTGATCAACTATTTTCAGTCTGATGACAGCTGTGCTCTGCAGCTGGGGTGACCCCCCATCGCTCGCCTGGACGTGTATGTCTAGCAGTTTCATCACTTCATAATTAAAGCTTCTCAGAGCATATATAGAGCCTGAAACTGAATTTAGAGACACAAATGTGTTCACTGGAGACCCCATTATAACCCCATCCACCAGTCTGTATGTGATTTTACCATTATTGCCTAAATCTGCATCCTTGGCTTCTACAGTGGTGATGTAAGCTCCCGGGGGGTTATTTTCCACTACAGAAACTTCATACACAGATTTAGTAAAAAGAGGGGCGTTGTCATTCTCATCGTTGACTCTTATGGTAAACTGGGTGATCTTTCTCAGTGGAGGTGACCCGAAATCCTCAGCCATGACCGTCAGGTTGTACTCACTGATCCTCTCCCTGTCTAAGGCTGCAGCTGTGACTATCATGTAGCTGTCCTCGTAAGCTTGCCGTAGCTTGAAGTGGTCGTGTCCGTATAGAGTGCAGTGAACCTGGCTGTTCACACCCGCGTCTCTGTCCAGGGTGCTGATTAGAGCCACCAGACTGTCCTTGTCTGCAGACTCGCTGATGTGCGCAACGCCCGTCGTGATGGAGGTCATGGGGGTGATGCTGATTTCTGGGGCATTGTCATTAACGTCCGACACGTGAATTATGATTTTACAAACGGAGGGGGTCGGGTTTGGTCCCAGGTCGGTCGCCTGCACGTCTAGCTCGTAGGTGCTTTTGTCCTCGAAATCCACCGGGCTCTTGAGCGTCAAGCGCCCTGATTTATTATCCACTTGGAAAAGTTCTCGGATCTCATGAGAAACCTGTTTCCCAAACCCGTACACCACCTCTCCGTTTGAACCCTCATCTGCATCCACTGCGTTTAGGTCTAGGATGACAGTGCCAACCTGTGCGTCCTCGGGCAAACTGACAGAGAAACTATTCTGGTCAAAAACAGGGCTGTTGTCGTTAAAGTCCGTCACTCTGATAGTTATCTTTGTTGAGCCCGATCTGAACGGGTTCCCTCCGTCTGTGGCCACCAGCTCCACTGTGTATAATGACTGAGTCTCCCTGTCTAGCTCCTTCATTAGCACCAATTCCGCATATTTAACCCCATCCGCTCTCAGGAGCACATCAATGGTGAAGTGACTGTTGACAGAAATCTGGTAGCTTTGGATGTAGTTTGAGCCCACATCCGCGTCCACAGCCGGGTCCAAAGGAACACGGGACCCCACAGCTGCATTCTCCGAGATCTCCACTATAGATTCCCTGTTTGGAAACTCGGGAGAGTTGTCATTAATGTCCTTTACCTCCACCTGTACGTGGATCAGTTTGTAACGATCTTTGGAGAAATTAACCACGTCAAAAGTGATGAGACACTGAAGCGTGTGTCTGCACATTCTCTCCCTGTCAATGCGCTCCCCAACTGACAGCTGCCCGTCGCTTTCTCTCACCCTGATGAATGAGTCGTTGAATTGTTTCATCATCCTGAAATTGGTCTTGGAGGAGTGAGACAGACTCAAGGACATGTCCTTGGCAAGGTTTCCGATGACTGTGCCCGGCGCGTCCTCCTCATTGGTCTGGTATCGAACAGTATTTCCATCGGACCGAGCCGGTGATGCAAATAAAAACTGAGAAAATGAGAATATAAAAATCCACTGGTGCCAATAAGTTATTAATCTGCCTCTTAGCATCTTTTTCTCCTCTGTGAGCAGCCTCATTGTGCGCCGAAAAGACCGCTTTCACCTCTAGAGTGAGCTCTCCATACGAGCTGAATGAACTGAACTGTGCTGGAAGTGAAAGTTACTCCGCGCAGGCAGACAGTCAGACACGCTTGTTGCCTCGCCTTCAACACAGCTCAAAATCCTGCAGTGGCGGGGTTTATACAGCTCCTCATGCTAATGAGACGAAGTGTGACCAATCCCTCGCTTTAGAATTAAAAATACCCCCATATGCAGGAGGGAAAAAAAGCTAAGCCTGTTTTGAGAGTGAAGCAAGTTGAAAAATAAAGAAGGGGGAAAAAAGAGGGCAGAGAGATATGCCATTGCTTGAAGATAGTTCCTGCACTCTTTATCGCTTTATTACAGCCATTACAGTGATGGTTGTATTTAGCAAAGCCGTTTTTTGTGCGCGCGCGTACATGCACTCACGAGGCTCTGTTGTTTAATTTTGGTAAGCTGAGAAAGGTTTTGTAGAGGGTGCAGCTCATT